TATATATATATATAATACTTGAGGAGTTTGAGGGATGGCTCAGTTGGTAATTCCCTGGCTCTGGGAAGACACGAGTTCAACCCCTAGTTCCACATTTAAAAAAGCCAAGTATGATGGTGCATGCTTTGATCCCCCGCAGTAGAGAGGCATGGACAAGAAAATCCTGGGGCTTGCTGGCCAGTAGGCATGGTCAAATTGATGAGCTTGAGGCCAATGAGAGATTCTGACTCATAAATAAGAGCAGCTAGCTCCAAAGGACTAGTACCCAAGGTTGACCTCTGATCTCTACAGGCTCACTCGTGCACCCACACAACAGGCCGCTTTAAGCACACATGTGTTTACATTTACACACGCACTATTATTTGGTGTAGACATAGGTCATTGAGTTTGCAACAAAGGTTCAAGCTTCAGCTGTCTTCCTTAAGTCAGATAGGAACTCACTCACTAAGCCTCTCCCATGCACACTCTGCAGCTGGATGCTGTCTTCTAGGCAGGCTTTTTTTCTCCTGCCAGAGTGCCCTGAGTAATCCCCTTCTGGAGAGAACCCAGGAGAGCCACCAATGGTTTTATGAACCTGACCCTCCACATGAACCTGCTCTGACCTGACACAAATGGCTGGTATGCTATGATTTTGACCCAGGTGACATGTTCCTTGCTGTCTTTCAGTTCTTGACCAGACAGTCGGCTTTATACATGCATGCCCACAGGGAAGATGGTGGCACCAGCAGCAGCTCATACAGCCAGTGCCAGCCCATCTCCCCGGGATGCTTTCCCACACATCCAAGAGAACCACTGATTGCCTGCGACTTTCTACACAGCACTAATTTTGTTCCCCTCCAACAACTGCTAGTATTTCTCTGCCTTTGCTCACATCTGGAGCCCGTAGGCAGTAGGGGCTCCCTTCCTCTTTGTTTTCATCCCTTGCTTGGCAGCAGGTGAAGAAACACAGTAAGTGACTAGTGAAAGCAGCCCTATTCAGACACCCCAGGCAATTGTACTTCCTTTTCTTTTCCCTCATTTGCATGAAGATGCTTCCAGAATCACCTTGGGTTTCCAGTGCCCTGGCGTACTGTTTCAAAATAAAACCCATACGGGAAAATGCCCATTCACAGACTTAGAAACAGAAAGGGGGAAATAATAACCCCTGCCATATCCAGGTGCCAGGGGATTATTGCCCGTAACCTTTCATCCTTACAACCATTCTAGCAGTGACACCCTCATTTCATAAATGACGAAGAAGCTTGGGGTGTGCTCAGGCTAGTGAGCTGCAGGGCTGGGGTTCGGCCCCCTACCCCCACCAGCCCTCTGCAGCCATCTCTCCATGGCTGCACAAAAGCATGGTGAGGACCGCTGAGCATCAATCAGCATGTTCAGAGTAGAGGGTATCAAGATCTCAAAGTCAATTTGCACGTTACCAGAACTCTTGGTAGCTATGGGCCTATTGCATAGGATACAGAAATGGAGTGTTCAGCTGGGTCCTCTGGGGGACACAAAGGGATTAAGAGCAGCTAAAAAGAAATCTAAAAAGTAGTGCCAAGTGTGGGGGCCTCTGTGTCAAGACCTCTGTGTTCTAGGCTCTCTAAGCCTTAGTTTCCATATCAATCCAAGATGGAGAGAAGGATCCTATTCTGTAGGCTTGTCGGAAGAATTCACTGAAACAACAAGGAGTGTGCTGTGTGTGACTCCTGGTGCAGTGGAACCCTGGGAAAGTGATGACTGCTGTTCTCGTTAGGAGTCTTAGGGGATTGGGGGCACTTTATAAATGGTGAAGTGTTCATCTGGTGTCTGCACTCATCACTCTTCCCCAAACTGTTCATCCATCTGGCTCCAGCCTACAGCCCTGTTGTTTTCTGCTTACATACAATCACCCAGGTCCCCAAGAACGGCCTTTTGGGCTCTGAGATCATGGTCTATCATCAAAGTGACATTTCTATGTAGCCCACCTAGACATACTGCTTTGCAGGGCACCTGTAAAAGGGAAGGCCAAAGCTGAAGAGGAAGCTGCCGTGACCTTCCGTTCCCATGACTTCCTCTGGCAAATCAAAGGCATGCTGGTACCAAGCAGCCCGGGGCTGTGTAGCCAAACCACACAGATGTTTGTGGTACCTTTGAGCACCGGAGGGACCTGTGCCAGAGCTTTCTAACAGAGGGCTGGGGGCCATGCTCAAGACTTAAGTCAGGCTAGCCAGTAGAAGTTTGGGGGGGAAGAACCCCATCATTGTCATCTGCAAAGTGTGAGAACACACATCTGGTGTGGCTTTCTGGCCCTTCCAAAGGACTCTACAAGGTCCTCATCGTCAGTGTTTGTAGATTAGTAAACTGAGGCATAGAGTTCAGAAAGACTCAAAAGGGGGTAGGATTTCAATCCAGGCATCCAGGCATCCATTCTCTTGAATTGCATTCTGCATGCGCCCTTCTTAGTCGTGAACCTGATGTACCTCACGCTGAGAGGGATGGAATGAGGTTTCAGACAAACTGTTCCAGGTGAGAGAGCATATACCTAGTGTCAGTCTACCCTTGGATAGTGACTATTTGCCTGTGTTTTTGTAGACTCAACTTGGCAACGCAGCAAAATGAGTCAATTCCAGCCTTGGCTGTCTGGCTCCTCGCTGTTTTTGTTTAGACAGATTATAAGCGTGGAGCAGACAAGAAAATGAAGGGGAAACATGCTCGGTCCCCAGTAATGGAAGAAACCGGAGCACTGACAGGGAACAGATAGTTTCCCAGCCCAGAGCCCCACCCACTTCCATCAAGCTCAGTAGCTTGTGAACTGTGTGCACTGGGCATCTCTCTCCATCACAGTCCCCACAGCCCACATGCCCACTAAGCTGTGTCCTCTCTGTTGGCAGGTAACCTGGACATCACTCCCGATGACCCGCGCTGGATCGGAGCCTGGTGGGGCGGCTTTCTGCTCTGTGGTGCCTTGCTCTTCTTCTCGTCCCTCCTGATGTTTGGGTTCCCACAATCCTTGCCCCCACACTCAGACCCTGGCATGGAGAGTGAGCAGGCCATGCTCCCAGAACGAGAATATGAGAGGCCCAAGCCCAGCAATGGGGTCCTGAGACACCCCCTGGAGCCAGACAGCAGTGCCTCCTGTTTCCAGCAACTGAGAGGTAAGGGGCCAGAACTTGCTGGTCAGAACAATGGGGATATTGTGATGGGGTGAGGGAATGGGTGGCCACTGGAGGGTTTGAGAGTTTTACATAATTGGCCCACACAAGGTTTATGCTTGACTTAGACACATTTAATGAATGCCAAAATAAAGTAGCCTCCGTGTATTGATGAAATCCTGGAATTGAAATAATAATAATGTCAATTGAGAAAGATCTTTTCTGGGTTGTTTCCGCTGTCAGCACGGTCCCTTAAATGACAGTGATACTGAATACAACCCAGCAGCCTCAGGCTGCTCCATGCTCCCCATTGCCTAGATAGATAGATAGATAGATAGATAGATAGATAGATAGATAGATAGATAGATAGATAGATAGATAGATAGAGAGATAGAGAGATAGAGAGATAGAGAGATAGAGAGATAGATATATATGTATGTATATGTGTGTGTGTGTGTGTATGTATCTTTAACACACACATACACGCATATATCTACACACACATACACCCCACACCCCACACCTCACACCAAGGGGACTACTTAAGCTTCTGGTGTTCCCTAACCTACTTGGGTCCACCAGAGTGCCTGCCAGAGTTTAGACATGAGCAGTTGGCTGCAGGTACCTGCAGGTACCTGGGCATGAGCCAGGCTAATGTACCTCCTCTTAGAGAAGCTGGGATGAAAGGAAGGTAGGTGGACAGCAACCTCTCTTAAAGCCTTTAGCAGCCACACAGGCAACATTCCAAGGCATCATCAGCATTTCCCTGGGATGAAATTGAAGTCAAGGTATGCACATGCAGGATGAGGTGCACCTTTGGCAGGTGATGATCCCAGGCCTTGACTAACCCCATGCTCCTTCGTTGTCCTACCGAATACTAGCCGTAAGGTTGTTCTATTCTCCTCGCCTATTTCCACACATTTAAGACTAGGCCACAGTTCTTTGACAGCATCATCCTGAGAACAAGAGCTCTGCCTGCAGAGACACTTAATCAAACCTTTGAGTCCATGAAGAGCCCAACAGACCTTTGCTGTTTCTGAAAAGACACTAATTTAATAACCCGATGTCATGTCTGGTCCCATGTTCTCTGTCAGTATCTACAAGTGCTGCGAGCCAACTGATGGCCTTAAACTTGCTCTTTTAAGCTCTGAATGCAGTGGTAGATGAGGAGTCCAGCTAGTATATGCCCTTGAGGTTACCTTAGCTGGGACCGACCCCTCAGTAAGTGTGTAAATTACCTCTACCTTCAAAACTGGCAGATTATATAAGTCCCCCGACAGCTCGAGGGTGATGCCTGCTGTTATCTTAAGAGCACAGCTGACTGTAATCCCAGGCCCCAGACCCACAATAATCCATCTGACTGGCATTACAGTTGGTCTGCCAAGAGAGGACCCTGATTCCCAGTATTGGCAACCATTCCAGATCTTTCTTTGTCCGGGTAATGGTCTTGTCGTCCACATTCATAGGGCCTTCCTTTCATCTCTGGGTATGAAAAGATAAAAAAATAAACAACTGGGCCATCAATGACCACCTCAACAGCTACCCAACAAAGATAGCCAGTGGTTCAGGAAGTGACAGATATGTAAAGGGCCAGGGAGGGTGAAAGAGCGAGCTCAGCTGGGTCCTGAGCTAGGGACTGCCACAGTTTCAGAGTATTTCAGATAAGGTTCAGTCACCTTCCTTCATCTTCTCCGTTTAGGAAGTCTCCATTTAAGGAGAGCTAGGGACATGGCCAGGGTCAGGGCCCCGTGTCCTGGAACTTCTAGTTCCATAGAAGAGGCACGCAGCAAGAGAGGTCAAATCAAAGTGAAAATAAGCATTGAGTAGTTGACCGGGGCTGAGAGGTATGCATTTGGGCCGATGGGTTCAGAGCTCAGTAGATCAGAAGTGGGTGAGCGTGGTATCTGTGTGGGCGAGCATGGGGTCCATGTGAACGCACTTCCATAAGGAATGATATTTCATTTCAAACAAGCAGTCCCGACTTAGTTAGCGCCGCTAATGAACTAGGGTAGAGGACATCCCAGCCGGGCAGAAAAGCTTGTATCTCCAGAAGACTTCTACAAGAGCAGGAGTCCAGTAAGCCAGTGTGCTAATAAAGAATCATCCAGGTGCTGGCCACAAAAAAGGACCTCCTTTATTGACATCCTTCATCTCCCCCATGAGCTGAATATTTCTGCCACAGCCACACATTCACCAAATGCACCCTTCAGTGCTGCTGCTGTCCCCACACTAACTCTTACTCCTATTCCCCTCCCCCCTCCCCCCTCTCTAAGAAACCCTGTTGGTCCCCAGCACCTTCCTGCGTGCAAATAAGCAGAACACTGTCGGATATATAATAAGAGTCTCATAACCTCTAAGAATCTTGGTGGCCATTTTCTCATGCATCTCTTCGGAGCTTTCAAAGGTTTTTCTTCTAATACAATCTATCTGAGTCCCAGGCCATGCTCAAAAACTCTACATGAAGCGGCCCTTCAATTCCACCATACAGTGTTCCCAGGTTTCTGAGAGTGATATAGGGTAGCCTGTCTTGAGTGGGACATCCTGAGATCCAATTCAGCTCAGCTACTTCCCCCTTGTGACACCTGGGTCATGACATTTAACTCCACTTGGCTTTAACATGGAGGATCTGGTTTCATCTTTACAACAACTGCCTCTGGTTGGTTTTTCTGTTTATCACCATACACAGACGGCTTATGCTATGGTACTGTGGGAGTTTGGTATGTGGTCCATTTTCAAGGGCTTTGACTGTCTATTGCCAACAAAGCCAGCCATTGGCTGGAAGTTCCCAGCTTGTAGCAACAGTCACATGGAATTTTGATAAAGCAGACCTCAGAGAAACAAAGTCTTGGGGTTACTAAGCCACAGTGTCACCATCAGGTGAGAGGCTGCCAAACCCTGAACAATTTTAAATCTCAGCATGCTAGCAAATCTCTTTCCTTTAGGTCTTGGCTCTGTGATGCTTCTGCCCTGATGAGCCCACCTGTGAGGTACCCTCAGCATCACTGTCATCCTAATGCCCAGTACTCTTCATTCCTCCCCTTTCATGCCAACAGGTTATATATTGGCACCTGGCATGTAGCTGTACAGGGTGTGTGAAGAATTTATGAAAAGCTACCTAGACGGAAGAATGGCTTAATGAGACAGTATAAATAATCCAGAGCCAACAAGGTGGCTCATTGGATAAAGATGCTGCTGCCAAGCCTGACTGCTTGAGTTTGATCCCCAGACCTCACATGGAAGACAAAAAGAATTGATTCCAACAACTTGTCCTCTGACCTTATGGATGTGTACATGTGTGCATACTCACACACATGTACACACACACACAGAGTGAAAGACAGAGACAGACAGAGAGAGAGACAGAGAGAGAGGCAGAGAGAGAGAGGCAGAGAGAGAAATGAATAAATGTAAATGTTTAATTAAAACTAAATACAAATCAGTCATGTTTAGAAAATAAACACTCAGTGTCATTATCATTTGCATGGTAAATCTCATACCCACGGTGTGTGACATGCATAGGCATGCTTTTATAGAGACATGTGTAGTGGCTTTTCTTACTGCTTTCAATGTCACTTCAATTGTTATATATTTCACTGTAAGTTGTCTCCTTGATCACCTGGGAAGCTTCAATGGACAGGATCTGGGTCCCAGTGAAGTGATCTGTCCTCCTTCATCTGCTTCTGTGTGGTTAGTGCAATGCATCAGAAATACCCCCTCTTTGCTCTTTTATGCCTGGGATATCCTTTCTCCTTTGATTCACTTTTGGGCTGTCAGCTGTATTGTGTTTGGATATATATCATCCACTTGGCCTCTGTGAAGCCCCGACTACTACATTACCATTGTAGTCTAGTCCACCCCGGATGGTGATCTCCATCTACTCCAGAACAAAGCTCTTCATTTGCAGTGCATAACACTGCCTGACACAGAAGTGGTGCCACTTTAATGAATGAAGTAACAAATGAACACACACACACACACACAACCAGGCCCTGGGAGCTTGACCCAGTAAAGGGCTTGCTGCACAAGTCTCAGGACCTGAGTTCAGATCTCCAGCATCCACATAAAAAGCCAGGCACAATGGCACACACCTATAACCAGAAAACCGAGACAGGAAGATCCACAGGGCTCTCTGGCCAATAAGGCAATCTAGCTGAATCAGCAAGGTCCAACCTCACTGAAATAGATAAGACAGAAAGCAATAGAGGAAGACACTCACCATCAACTTCTGGCCTCTACAGAGGATCACAGTACACACACCACCACCACCTCCACCACCATCTCCACCACCACCTCCAAAAAGAACAACAAATATGTTTGTTCTTATCTGTATCCTGTGGAGTCTCTCCAGCCCTATAAGCCATTAGTACTGTTTTACAGATATGGAAATCAAACTTAGAGATGGAAAGAAAAGACATTTGAATCACCATGAAGAAAATAATGCCTGTCTCCTTAAGCTTGAGGTGAGGCTGTCTCTCTGGCCAAATAGACTCTTCTGAAAAACAAGTACCATCACCAGGTGCTAAGTGACCTTTCTGCAGAGTATACTAAAACCATCTCCTGAGGCAGCACAGATGTCCCCTAAAGCATTGTGTCTTTAAAGGGGCTGCAGCTGCAAGGGGAGGACGCTTCTGCTCCCTGTTAGCACTGGCGGGTCCTGACTTGCTGGGATCAGTGTAGCTGCCTGTGTCCAGGTTCGGAATCCTCAGGGCAAGTCCTGACTCCTCTGAGAGGGGCAGTGAGAAGCTGAGCACTCTTCTCTCAGTCCTTCACCCTGACAGACAAGTGGCCTCTCAGTGTCCTTGAAGAGACTGTACTTCCTCTAGTGGAGCCTCACTGTGAGGAGCAAACTCTGCCTTGATACCTCACCCTGGCCCAGCACAGCTCAGCCCTACCTGCATCAGTGGTCCTTCTGTGCTAAAGCTCTGCTCCTGCATCCTGTCTCTGATCTGCCCAGGACCCCTACCTCACCTAAACTGGGTGATGTTTAGAATCATCACTGAAAC